GCGCTCGTGTGGCCAGAAGTGCCCCGGGTGAAGGATACTTGATGCAAAAATCACGTTTAAACTTTTCTTTTTTTTTTAATCAAGGACGTTGAACAACAACAAAAAAAAAAGCCCTGTACAGTAGTTAAATTTTATTACAAGTGTAATAAACGTAATGATTTTTAGCACTAAGGCAATCACAGTTTCATAAGTTATATATACATATATAATTTACACAAGTCTACATTGACAATTACCAGTCACATCACCAAGGGGCTTGTGTTATGGCAAATAAAGTTTATGAAAATTCACAGTTAATCTGCAAGTATTTTAAAGATGCAGGAATCATATTGCACATCATAAAACTGGGCACTGAGGAGCACATTTACAGTGTTCCAGCTATTCCTTCACAGAATATACATTGGTCATCATCATGCAATAACTTCAAATAGAGAAATGGTATCATGTACCACGGTAAACAGTTACTCACAATGTAAGTTTTAAATAGAGTAGCAAAAAGCTGTTAGGTTTCTCTTTAAACCATATTTAAATTCTTATAATAAACCACTTTGATAAAATCAAAACGGAATTACAGCTGTCACATTCTGGTTTTAGTATTCTTCTTTGTCTTTTCCTTTCTTCTCCTTTTCATCCTGTAGTGCAGTACCAAGTTTCTTTATGAGGACTGACAAGACTTTGTCCAGAGGATCCATGACGCCACGCTGCAGCCACTTCGGAATAGTAGTCCTTGCATGGTGAAAGCCCAGCTTTTGGAGGATGTAGTCAACACCAACAGGATCAATTTTTCTCCCAGTCCAGGATATTAATCTAAAAAACCACCAATAAGTAGGGGACTCAATAACAAATATATACAACTTAGAGCAACTGGCCTGTGCATGAACAGCCATTTTTACCATTGTTGCTTCTGACCAACATCTGTCCAACAGGCATTGTTTCCAACTTAATTTATACACATAATCTGAAGACCACCAGTGGAGCATCCTCTCAAAGGAAAAGGATGATAAATGAGACAAAAAACCAGCCTGGGCTGCCTCCATATCATGTTTAAATTGGTTTATTATCAAGGTATGTTTGGCCTTGGTTGATGTGGTATTTTATATGTGAATGAACACTTGTCAGCAGAGGTTAAAGTAAAACCAAACCCCAACAGAGAGAAAAGTCAGTTTCAGTGACTGAAAGTGAGTATTGAGAGCAGTGAGTTGCTGCTGTACACACTATTCTTCTGTGCTAAGTTTAAACTGTCATACAGCAACTAGAATATAGTGCTGCTTTATTTTAAGGTGAGTGCTTAAAGAACAACTAGAACTGGAATGCTAAAAATGGAAAACTAAGGAGAAAAGCTACATGGCAGAAAGTGAATGGACTGTTGTAGGACAGAGCGAAACACAATAATCTCTAGTTCTTAATGACTTTAATTTTACTGTGTCTTAATTGTGAAGATCCTCCAACAGTGTTTTTTATCTGCATAAATTCTAATCTAGAAGTTAACGGGTGTAATAGATAATGGTGTTACCTAGCTTTTGTCATGTCTCAGAGCAGGTATGTTTCATAGCAGCAGTAGTAGCCAAAGGCAAATCTATAACAGCATCCTCACGATTAATCCTTTTTGGAGCTGAACAGCATCAACTTGGAAACACTTGTTGTTTGCATGACAAAGCCCACAGAGAAAATGCACAAAGTGATAGCAGGTAAGCCTTGTTACCTGAGCGTGGGTTCCAAATGCCAAGTATTGCACATAAATTCTCTCCAGTCAACTGTAGTATAAGTAATGCTTTCTTCTGCCTCCTTGTCAGTGGAGCTGTCCTCAAGAACACCAACAGAGTTTTTCTGTCCTGGACGAGCAGCCAAAATGCGAGGAGGGAAGATTGCTACAAAACGGAGAGAGGAAAAACCCCACACCCGTCAGTCACAAGCATCTCACTTGAATTCTCTTTGTAACATCATTAAATAAAACAAAGTGAGAACCACCTTGTGGCTCAGTTTTACAGAATTTCTGGCAAAGAGTTCTGGTTTGGTCCAAGTGCTGGTAAGAAAAAACCCTACAAAAACTGTAAGAGACACTGGAATGTGGGATTCTCCTTTCTCTCTGCCAGCCTAAAGCATCCGTATACCAGGCCTTGCTTTCAAATTCATCATGGCATTCAACAAAACATACTAGATTCCATAAGCAAAATTCAGACACACTCCTAGTTTAGAATATTTTTTTTAGACTGACAGAGTAGTCTCTGAGGAGGGGGAACAGTTAATCTAAATCTTTGTCCAAAGGCATCAAAGGCACGAGAACCCAACTCTTACTTAAGTTTAAGTCCTGGCATACAGAAAAGCAACAGCACCTCCTTCTCCTTCATCCAACATATTTTAAAAAATAAAAACGAATCTGTGAATTTGGATGGAATAACTTGAAAACAAACTTTTTTACAAACTTCTACCAAAAATAGTTATCTTCCCCTTTAGATTCTGCACCTGTTAGACACTTTAAAGTGCTTTTAGGAAGCACTCTTAGCTCTCTTGTACATAACTACATGTAAACGGGTACTTACATGCTTAGTTAGGAAAACAAACCTTCAAAACACTCAATGTGTTCTACGTCATGTGTTACATTTATACATCACATTACATCACACTAACAAATGTTACATTTTCTATACAGTTCAGTAATCAATGCAGACAACTATGCACAGCACAATCCCACGCACACAGCAGAACAGGTGACTCAGTAAAGTGGTGAGCATTTCTGAAGTCAGAAAAATGCATATCTGGGAAGAAACTCCATTGATGAAAAGACTGTAATAAAAGCAATGTAGCTTCCTAAAACAGTTGTAATCTGCATATACCATTTACAAAAAGGAAGTTACATTACACACCGAGTGTCAAAATAGGAGCAAGATTATGACTTAGAAAAACTCACACAAGCTCATCAGTAGTGGGGAAGGAACAGAAATCCAGGAGCATGTCTGTTCTCTGCAGCATACTGCACGTAGGTGCTGCACTGGAGGTAGTCAAGTTGGTTTTGAGCAACCTGATGTACCTACACAGTGTAGTGAAGTGCCACAGAGATATCAGTACAGCTCCCTGCACAGAGGTGGCATGTCAACACAGTGACACAACGATGTTTGTAAGTTTGCATGCAACTACTCTGCTTCCAGTCTTACAGGAGCTTGACTTAAAATGAGCTCAAGTATTTCTTGAACCAAACCTTTATTAAAAAGTATTAATATATTTACTGTCAAATAGTATGAAAACTGCAGATTGTCAGATGAGTGTTGCCTCATGAACAGCAACTTACCTTTTTCTTTTTCTTTTAGATAAGCAGATACCAAGTCATGCAGAAACATAATCAACTCAGCATCCATTGTTACACAAATATGGTCTGTAAATTCAGTTACCACACTGCATTCCACCTTTGGTTTAACACTTGTATCTACAGCCAGATAAAAATAGTATCAATACACTTGTAGGCACATACAGTATACATAAAAATACACAGATTTTGAATACAAATAATTTGAAAAATCACATTGCTCTTAGTGAACCAGAGACTCAAAAGAGAGGACCACAATTAACAGCTGTGTTTAGCACAATCCAAATAACTTCTGATAGTTTATGAAAGATGCTAAAAATAAAGACATACTATGATACAGCAACCTTGATCACCCCTCAATGTGGAAAGCCAACCTAAAGCAGTATCACTAGCTTATGCTATGCTGTCAATGCACGATTTAGTAAGAAAAGCTGGTAGCAGATTTTTCTAGTTTGGCTATTGAAAAAACAGTTAACCAAACCCCAACAGGTTGGCTTATCTAGCAGTATTAGGCAGGATCAGGTATGAAGGAAAACCACAGCTCAGCCAAGATAAACATGTACATTAATGTCTTACATCTTCAGAAGTCTTATTTCTCACCAGTTCCAATTGCAATCTGATTATTTTGAAAACAAGCATAAAATTTAGGTTCCCATCTCATAGTCTCTCTTTCAAAGGGGCCCTCCCTTTTAACATTTTAATAAAAAGAAGAAAACCAGCCAACCTACCTGAAATATTCATGTTAATTTCTCTTAGTAAGTTTTTTCTATAGTGACCAGTCTCTGGACTAGATCTTTGCTCTCTCAACAGTTTCCTCCACATTTTATTACGAAATGTTATCCTTTCTTGCAAATCTGCAGTAATTCTCAGACTAAATCCTCTTGTCTTATCAGCAGAGTAGCTTTGTACTTAACACCTCATTTATGAAACATAGCTTTAGATCAAGAAAAAAACAAGTTATATTTACCGCACCTTGTAATGAAGGCTCTTGGGGCTCTTGAACATGAATAGATTTAAAATCCAGCTGCATCCTTGGCAGTGCAAAGATGGTTTCAGTTTCATGGTTGTAACTGGAGCCACCTCTGAATCCACTTAGCAAGCTTGAGCTTTTCACGGTCGTGCTGCTCTCTGGGTTGTTCGCATCGACATTTCGCAGCAGGTTTAACTCTACATGGACAATGGGAAATGCATGAACTCAGTAGTCTTTATGTAAAAAACATTCTTGTCAGCACAGAAGGTGACAAATTTTCACTTCTAAGAATCCTAGGTGCTTTAAGTCCAAGTTCCATCCACCTCACCACCCTGTCACAACTCTCTTCTCATAGTGAGCTTTCAGTTAAGTGAGGTACAGACTGTATGGGTCCAAAATGTGCCCTTTGTGTTTGAAAATACAAGTAGTTCTTAAAACAAAGATAAGTGTTTCTGATTAATACAAGTAACACCTAAATTCACTGAGGTAGCATTGCTGTCAGAAATCATTGTTGACCAGGAATCCAACTTTGTCACAAGACATTTACCATAGTATATATGCAACATCATTTAAATGTTTTCAGTTGTTAAAATTCTGACAAAAGGGCAAAGAAAAGTTATTATTTCAATGCAAAAAAAAAAAAGCTGGTGTATGATTATTAAGAAGATTATATCCTTAACCCTGCTCTCAAAAGCATGGCTACAAATGATCAAACAATTACATGTTAGTGTTTCTATAGTTAAATGCTCCAGATGTAGCAAAACAGGCTACATAAAACCAACTCACAGACAGCGCCTCTGTTTGTGAACTTCAATCACTGCATCCTGTTGTCTCTTTCAAAAGGAATAAATATTTGTATATCAATCACCTCAATTTTTATTTTTCAAGGAGCTATGCCTGCTCCTTTCTCACTATATTTTACATTCTGCTATTCACCCTTTCACAGAAATTGTGTTGCTACCATCTACTGATGCTATGGTTTGTGAATGAAACAGCAACTTCTTGCATCTAGTCAAAGATGACTAGTACTACTGCAGTGCCAGATACATAAGTGTCCTATACACTTAACAGAACATTTTGGCATTTCTGCACAGTTTGAGAAAGGACTTTGCTCAGTAACACTTCACCTGTTCAGCATATTGCTATTCTTCTTACTCCACAGTTCATCATAAGATTCTCAAGAAGAAACAACTTCCATTAGTTCAAATTCCTTTCTCTCTGCAGCCCACTTGAAATTTAGCAGCTTTTAAACAGCACTGTCTGTACTGCCTGGCAAGCAGACCCATCCCCAGACTCAATGAACATGGACCTCACCTTCATTCCTTGTGGCTGTAACGTAATTGAACCACTCTTTCACACTGGCAACTCCATGCGGGGGGTTATCATGGCGGCGCCTTGTTATCTTTGTGATTGTCGCCATCGGGCTTTCGAGGGCTCCACATGGTTTGGTGACCATAGTGTTATGGCCCAAATGAAAGTCCAGGGTTTGCACAATATATGTGGAGTGTTCGCTAGTACCTGCATTGAAGGTGTGGGCAGCATGGCGTGAAAGAGAGAAAAAACAAATTGGTAAGGGGTAGTAGGATTTTTCCCCTTACTCTGCTCTCCTTGCAAAGGTATTTAACAGGAATAATTAGTACACCAGTGGCATTAAAAACTGATAAAAAGCTTGCAAACAACAGAAAAATTAAATCCTCAGTCGCTACAGAGAGTAAAAACTTCTTAATATAAAGGCAGATATAAGCAATAAGGCCATCAAAATTCATCATACAGAAACAAGGGACTACATGAACAGGGACATGCAATTAACAAGGCAGACAGTCCACTTTGTAGCTGTATTATCAGGGACATATCTACTGCATTTGAAAACATACTTTGCGTTATTCCAGAAATAAAGCAAACTGAGGTAAAGGTGGAGAGGGAACATGATTACTTTAGGTACGTGGTATATTTTGGGGAAATAATCTTGATTCAGACTGAAAGAAAATAAGTTTTTCTTTGATTTCTTCTTACGTATCATTCTTAATACATCAATACATTCTTAAAACTCTCTTAAAGGAATTTAGAGAAGTGAGGAAATGGTTTAAATTACCATCTTCCCAAACTTTCTGGGCTTCTGTCCAAAATGCAATATTGGGTTCTTCCAGGTGAAATAAGGCCCACGATTTTGAGCGGAAGTTGGGTCCATGAAAACAAGCCAGCGTCATATGGTTTCCATGAAGACTCATGGATCCTCCAAATTGCATTCCATCTTCTGGCAATGGCATCTGAAATAAGGATATATGGCACCCCGATACCACTTTCAAAACTCCTGGCCAGTGGCGATGATGGGCTGCATCCAAAACTAGAAATAAACAGTGAGAACAAACGTCAGTAAAGAGAAAAAGCTGCAGAAAAGATAGCTGCTATATTTATATTTTTAATAAAACATGAAATTATGAGTGGTATTTTCTAATCTATTTCATGACACTGTTTCATTTTTGTGACCTAAGGTGGTTGTAGCTTAAGAGTACCTGAATGAGCATACTTGGAAATCATTGACTCATTGTGAACTGACAAATTACGGTTTCAGCTCATGATTAATAGAAAGTATAACATCACACTTCCACTGCTACTCAAATTAGAAATGTTTGGGTTTTGGTTTTTTTATGAAATAGACTTTGAAAACTTTCAACTCTACTGAAATAGCTTGAAACTGGCAAAAATGTAGAAGAAAAATGAAGAAATGAATGAAGAAATGTGGAAATGAAGAAACTATTTCAAGTCAAATAGATATACTTCCATGTATAAAGTTAATCAGAGGAAATTTTGCAATTATAACATACTACTTGGGAAGTATACTATTTTTTGTACCACTTACATTGCTCATGTGAGCTTCTCTCCAAGTTGTTGGCCATTGTCTTGGGGGGGAGATAAGGAACAGGTCCCCAAGTGGACAGTGCTCGCTTGCTTGTATCAAACTGCTGAGTAAAGAACTCCTGGAGTTTCATTCCTATTTTTATCAGGTCTGGTGTAGTTGATCTTGAAATCATAACTTGGAAGATATCCCATTTCAAGTCCCCATGGACAAATATCTCACTAGATATTAAAACCAACAAGAGCATTAGCAGTTAATCTACTTCCTACTGACAATGAAGAATACCACAAATGAACCCTTTGTTTTCTAGCAGATGCTTACATGTTTGGTTAGCAATACTGGACAGAAGATATATAGGCAGAATTTGACCTTATTAAACATTATATATTTTAAACACATGAAGCAGTATTACCTTTTATCAGAGATACTTGAGTCCAAAGCATTATATAGATTAATTTTCCATTCATCCTGTAGTTTCAGATCAGCATTACTGAAGATTCCCATTAGGATACTGGACCCCATATAGTCAACACGTGCTTCAGTAGAACCCATGGTAATTTGAATTTTATGACTGGGCTGTTGATTTGGGTGCTCAGAAATATGAGCTGAAACAGAACCAAAGCAGAACAGAAATACAGCATTAAAATAGAAGAAAACCAGTTTTTCCAGCGATTATCACCCTTATCCATCCACATGATACAGAGGGACTGAGAAAGCACTGCTTTTTCCAGATGCATGGCGGCAGTCATGACTCAGGTGTAGTGCCAGAACACCAAACCTCTTTCCAAAGCCAGGTTTGCATTTCCCAGGCCATAAGCACTTGTAAAATCCTAGGAGCAGATGAAATGCTATAAAAATGTTTCAGTTGCCATCTGTCCAGACAGCTGAAGGGAGCTGGAGGGTTGCCCAACCAGTGGAATTTTAGAGCAGCCATGAGACTCAATCAGCCCCTGTGCAGAAGGCATCCCTCCAATTCAAGGTGTGTTACATAGTCAGAATGCACAAGCAGAAATGCAAAGGTTTTATATACTAGCAGGTTCACAAAGCAAGGTACTGTGTATTTTCTTTAGTTTTTCACATTTATTGTCTGAAGCCTATGTTAATACCAGGCAGCTTTCCAACTTACCCACCATTTCCAGGGTATTAACATCTATGGTACCTCCAACAACTCCTCCTCTGGAGTCCAACTGTGATCTTCCCAAGCCAACAGACATGCTAATTTCTCGATCTCTGCTACTACCCACAGAGAGACGACCCTGGCTTTTCAAACCACTGGTGGTCCACCTGGAACAGACATGAAAACAGACAACAATTTTCAGGCTGTCAAAAGAGAAATTCAAAATTATATACTAGAAAAGGGTTAAATAACATGGTGTACGCATATGAGACTTCAGGATTAAGCATCTACCAGTATTCATGAGGGGCTTCACAGTTCAAAACTGAAGAAGTTAGGATTGTAAAACTAGAAGACAAGAGGCTGTTAACAGTCTGTGGGGACACCCCCCACCCCCCACCACACACCCCCGTCTGTTAAAACATGCTTGATCTTGTTTTATACTTACGTAGTATTGCCCATTACATTGCTCATATTCATTTGAACATTTAATTGTTTTAAGTTCATAGCAAATACAACCAGTGTTTCCCATGGCGTTCCTTGCTGGCTTCCAGCTTTATTTGACTTATTAAATGGAGTTGATGTTTTTGAGAGAGTATCTAAACAAAAAAAGTAGATAAAAATCTAAATTATTCCACACACTAGGAAAAACTGGCAATTGTACATATTACAAAAGGGCAGACTAAGACCATATTTAAGGAGCTCCACAAAATTACTAGAGAGGATAAGTACGACTAGAGGATTTGTAGAATGCATTGCTTTAGTTGTCATAGAAATTGGTTTATTTTACACATTTATTTTAACTAGTATATTTAAGAGAAAATGATTTTTCATTTCCAGTCAGTCATGCAAGAGCATATTTTAAATTACTTAGCTGTTTAAAAATATGAGTGTATTCAGAAAGTGAATTATTAGTATTTGAGTATTCAGGTAGCAGTTATTTGCACAAGTGCCAAGTCAGAATTTCCAAAGTATTAGAGTTTTCCTTGCTCTTTTCACAAAAATCCTGTCAATACTCCTATAAACCTGTGCAAAATTACATTTCCTATCAGTAGTGCCATTCTACCAGCCATAGGTCCTTTTCCAACTGTGTCTTCCCTTAAAAACTGTTCATATGTAACATCTTGCTTGCATTCTAAATAGATAGAATAACTGTCTTTTTTTTCTGGACTAAAATAAGCTTCATACTTCTAAATCTCCTATCTATATCTAATGCCGTAAGTATTCCATACAGCCACTGTTACACTGCTCTAAGAAACAATACAGTAACATTTGTAGTAAAAGAAAGTAAAAGTTTCTTTATTTCTGATATGGAGATTACACTTATTTAGACCTCTCAGTATGAGCACAGTGTCTCAGATGAAACCAAGTAACTGACCTCACCTGTGAACTGTGATATTGACCCTCTGCTAAGAGGGTCGTAATTGCTTGGATGAGGATAGAGCGCCAAGAAGATGATAATGCAATCAAATTTAGATGAGTGCTCCAGCTTATTCCAGCTAAACAACTCCTGCTCTAGTAAAAGAAACTGCAATTTTACAGGAAACATGCTAACAAACTACACTTTGATTCATCCATTTCAGCCATTTTCCTTTCTCTAAGGCATTGACTCTCCACTCCCAGGCACAGTGGAAAACAGTATTTTATGATTGTTTTCTACAAAGCAACAATGACATAGTTTTTTCATACAACTGATGGAAATACTTTAAAAACCTAAAGAAATCATTGCCAACTAACCTCTCTGAGGCACTGAAGAGTCAGACACGCTCCTGGATCTTGTTACGGCTGGAGACTTTAAGCTATGAGATGCTGTCCCAGGTGACATACTGCTGTTTGCATTATGTTCATTAAAAACATTAGGTGACTGTGCCATGTGTGTAAATGAAGCAGATTGGCAGGGCTGCTCCCACGTTCTACAGTATGCTTTCCTTGATGATTCAGGAGAAAGATGCTGGCTTACCCCTTCAATCGAATCCGGTGTTCCAGGACCCGATGCTACTAGAGAAAGAAGCAGCACATGAAAGGCAGAAAAACTATTTAATTTTTGTTTAACAATATTCTCCCATATACTAAGAAATACACTTCATTTATCATAACTGAAGATTTTCTATTGTATTAATATAAGCTCTTTGATTAATTCAATGACCTATTTCAGAAATTTTCTATTTCTTCTTTCTAGGAGTTTATTATTAAGCTTATTAGAGTGCCTGCATGTGGAGTAAATTGTAATACATTTCTATGTAGTCATATATGTAATAATACACAAGTAATACATGTTTATAAAATTCCTACTATAATCCCTTGTAAAAAGAGGGTTTTCATGTTAAGAAGCAGTATCTTACCTGGCAAGTTTATTGTCTGATCACCCAGGAAAAGCCGTCTAGCAATGCTTCTCCTGTACCAAGCCCTTGGAAAGGCTAGAATCTCACTGAGTCGGCGCATATCGTATTTAAAAGAAGCAGATCCTATATCACAGACAGCTGAAAAAGAAAGAATAGACACACAGCTGTAAACTTTCAGTAGTAACAGGTTTTGGTAACCAATTGTAATTAAAAGGTATTCAATATAGTCATCAAATACTTCTTCACACGTAGTAGTACAGCCTTTGCTGTAATGATGTCCTGGGTTCAGCGCTTAAACCACAACAAATGAAAAAATAGTTTTTCTGAGATGTTGCCATTTGTCCAAATCCAGTATTAGCTACAAACACACTTCATAAAGGCAAGATGGAACCTACGAATATAACTGCTGTTGGGTCCTACTTGTGTTGTATGTACCTCAGATTCTTCATCTGAGGGCTTTAACAGCAGATTAATCACAACCATTCTGCTGTTTGCCCAGGAAGTCAGGTTCCCCTGTGCAATAGGGTAAAATAAATAAATAATACATTTTTAAATCCCACTTTTACTTCAAGGTTCCTGGAGTATTCAGGAATCTAGCTCTCACCCACCGTAGCTTCACAGACACCAGGTGGCAAAGTGGTGAAATTGGACAGTTGGTAACACAGAACTGTATTACCAAATGAGACATGCAGCAGTGCAGCCGGAATGAAGACAGCAACACACAGCAAACATCAGAATTTAAAAAAAAAAAAGGAGATAATGAAGAATACGAAGTAGCTTGTGATCTAGGAGATTCAGCTGTCTGAGCAAGCCCATTTAGTTAAATAAATCAGGAGGCTAAAAAGGTGCATCCGCCAATAGGTACTCCAAGTACCATTAAACTTTAATGTATCAATCCCTACTTCACGCAAAGAGCAAATATTTTACAACATCCTTCTATTAGACAGTTCTCATGTAAAATCTACAAAAAGCTACTGAGAATAAAGTCTATTACTGGAACAGCAGTTCTCTATTAGGTGAATAGATGGGATTAAAATGATACAAGCATTTACCAGATATGTTTATCAATGTAGTATCTATCTTGCTGGTAGCTTTGCTTGCAGACTGACTCTCAAAAAAGGAGGAACCTCCTGAACGCCTTATTCGTGACAGGCTGACTTTCACAAACTCAAGATTAATGCTCAAAGAATCCTTCCGGCCAGTGACTGAAGTTGGCTCCTCATCCACATTACCTAGAAATAGAAAGGCAAAAGCTTAATCTTCTGTGACCTTTTCAAATCTTCAGTTCAGAAAATCATGCCAAACTTAATCAGTGTTCATCTGAGCAAACAAAAACTTGTCTGTACCTAAGGCTCCTGATCCAGGGGTTAGAACAGTAACAGCAGATTTCTGTTTTCCAGCTCCGTATGGATGGAACACATAGAGGGAGAAATCAGACATGCAGGCAGTAAAGCTCAGGCCTGAAGAGCTGCTACTAGAAGTAGTCAAGTCTGACTGACTGCTGCTGTGCCGTGTTCTGCCAAGAGGGCTGCCTAGGCCAGGTGAGGAACCTGAAGTCAAATTTTTTTTGGCAAAAGTTAGTTTTAGTACAAAAGCATTTTCAAATATGAAATAATACTGACTGTTAACAGCAATACTAAACAGACCAAATGCACATCAAATTTTTTTGCATAATTTGCAGCAATGTAGCTTTAATACTCTATGTGTTGAGGCTAATCTTTTGTAAGAGATAACTGCTTAACCAGTGTAAGAAAAACTCCAATGTACTGCATCTGTGCCAGCTTTTACAGGAAACATACATGAAGAAATCCCACTGAACTCACTAATACATAAAAGCCTAGCCTTAAGGTATGTAAAAGCTTATCTTCTGCTCTAATTTTAGACAACAACATTATATTTATTTATGCTACAAGCTCTATATAGTATACACATTCATATATACATATTACCTGGTGCTCCAGATTTATTAACTGAATTCTTTGAGCCACTCTGTGAAGTACTGACACCAACTGACACATTTTCTGACAGGTATGTTGTGCCTAATGTTTCCAGTTCTCCTCGGTTTGAAGAGAAAACAAGATCCAGGGAAGGCAATTTCAGCATGCATTCAACTCTTGATACTGGCAAGCAACTGAACTTGATTTGAGAAGGCTGGAAGACAGAAAGAATATAAAGCATTCAGTAAACAAATAGGAAAGGCTAAAACCATCCCAAATTTGGCTTCTAAAGTGCTATGCATTTAAATCTAAACAAATTACAGCCTTTTCAGACTGGTTTTAGAATTACTAAGATAACTGTATGCAAGTTGATATAGATAAATTGATCGGAGGCAATCCCTCCAACACCAGGGCTATTATCTGGACGAGTTTTTGGAAAACTTAGACACAAGAAGCCTGGATGCAACAGAAGATATGTATGTCCCTCTTTCTTCTTCCTCCCCAAGTCAGTTCATAGCTCATCTCATGCAAGAACTATACAGAATCATTTGAGCTGATGCTGAAAGCCTCAGCTCCCCTTACTACATTCTTGGCCAGATGAGATTGCAAGTAAAAGCTGAGAGAGGCTACAGATTGTTGTGATAAACTTTCACAGGCATTTAAAAAAACCCCAGCATCTGTTAGAATGTGTTGTTCAATTTGGGAACATAACCAAATTTATACCAAGAAAAAATGTTGTTTGAGCCAACATTAAGATCAAGCTCCGGTGCTCTGAATAACAATGTGGTAGCACTTTTCTCTCTTAACACATATAAAAAACCCAGACACATCAAATATTAAGCAGTACGAATGCTGCCTTGTAGAGGATGACCATACATTTCTACATTTTCCATATAAACTGAGAAAATCTTTAATTACTATTTTTGTTTTGTAATGGTACCTATAAGCAGTGGATAAAAATACTAGTTATGGAAGATACTTTCACAAAAAGTCCAGAAGACACAGGGAAGAAGTAATGATTAAAAATGCTCAGAACTTCTGTGACTTCCCAAAGTTGCTCATTTCTTTGGTCTTCTTGGGACTAAAATATGTCATAACTTCTGCTGAAATAAGTCCTACTTTATCATCACAATAGACATCAGCATCTCAGAAAGGACACTTGAAATATTCTTTATTTTTTTAAAAAGCAAACTTAGAAACATGTATTGGTCTCAAAGACTGTGACTGTTACTTACTATATTGAATGCTGAGCTGAAATGTCACTCACCTGAACTCGTACATAAACCACCACATCTACAGGGAAGGATGAATATGCTGATGTTGAGGATGATACTAATGATGTTGTGGACTCCTCTAAGGGATCTTGCATATCGAACTGTCCCATATCTTCATCCTGTGAACTAACAGCTATTAACAAGTACAAGACCTCATTAGAAAGTGGAATTTAAATGGAAGAGCAGCCTAATATCACCAGAAGAGAAGAAAAAGAGTACTAGACTACAATTGGAGAGACATCAATTTGAT